TTGGCGTTCAGCCAACTGAAATATTGGTACAATAAATGATATTCTGATTCAATATATGCCTTTTTAAATTAAAGATTTATTTATGGATTACTCTATTTTCAAAAAAAAATATATTATGATTTATATTGTGAAAATGTTTACTAACTTTTGGGACAACCTTGTAATTATGAAACTTGGCCCACCTACTGATTGGCCACCCTTGATATAGAAAAAACATCAGAGATTAAATCATACTTCTCTATAAGAATTCTGTTATAATTTTACCAAGGTTACCAATATTACTAAGGTTGTCTCAAAAGTTCGTAAACAATTACAATTCTTTTATTTCCAAAGCGCTATATCCCGCAAGGGATACTTGCGCCAAACAAGGAGAAAAGTTTATTTACATAAGTTATTTACATTATTCAACGCATGAAAACATTATAGAGATCCAGATTTTGTAGAAAGTTTAGAATGCATTTACAAAATGAATTGAACTTGAAATTATTGATTTTTTATCGGAAATCACATCGTTAAGTTCACAAACAACTAGTTCATTCTTCATTCTATAATCTTGAAATGATGGGCAATCGATCAGTAGATGTCTTGAGGTTTGTTCCTCAATACCACAAAAGCAACTTGAATCCTCCACTGCCTTTATTCTATTTCAAAAAAAACTTTTGAAATTTCCGTGGTTTCTAACAAATTGAGTATTATAAAAATTTGGACGGAAGTATTTAGGGATTATAAATCATAATCATTTACGAACTTTGGGGACATATTAATAATTTTGCTGACAAAGCTAATGAAAAACGCTATTTTTATTATTATTTCTTGGGCGTTAGCTCCCTATATAATGCTATTCCGCTAATTCCACCCCATTTCCACACAACGTTCTCTGTTTTGATCGATTTTTTGCTCCTTTGTCGCCTTCCTACCCATTGTGACGAAGGCCTAACGCAGTTTGCGCCTTTTCCTTTTTTTCCATCTTTCTCTCATTTTGCTCCCAATATTCTCCCCGTGTTTACGACGTCTTTAACATTTTACTTTCCTGTATTTAAATCTTTTTTCTCTTTTTAAAATTTTACTAAGTTAATTATTTCTTTCTCCTTTTATATATGTTTTAATGCTTGGTATTTAAGATTTATAACACATTTATAATTTAAATATTTTATTCAATTAAGATTAAAATTACACAAGCATAACATTTAAATATATATCCTGCCTAACAAATCTCTATACTAACTCTATAACATTAAGCGATCTATTTACAGTTTGTTTTGGTCACTGGTCCAATATTTTTATTTTCATAGACCAAATTATAAGATTAATTCACAGATGAAAAATATGCAAAATAACTAAACAAATATATACATCAATTTGATATTTATTTAAAACAAATGAATAACTATATACATCAATTTAATATTTATTTAAAACAAATGAACAACTATATACATCAATATATAGCGTTTTTGTCGTCTATTCCAAGTTTTAACTTTTAGAGATTTTTTTTGTGTGATGTTTTTATTTTTTGCCGATTACCTTTTTTTGTATTTCACTTTTTAAAAAAATATTTTAGAATGTGTTTTTATTACTGTGTATATTTTTATTAAGAATTATAAACGTTTTTTCCATGTTTTAGAATTTTTCTTTATCGCAGTCTTTTTTCCCATCGAGATGGCTTTAGGAAAATGGCTTTGAAGATTCCATTCGGCGGAGGAGTGGCATATGTCACTGGATTGAATCCCTAATTAGACACTTTTTTTTTCTGAATGAAAGAATTTCTCCAATGAGCTCCTCCTCCGATTCTTGCAAAATTCCAACCCTCACCAGTGTGTTCAAGTAACCAAACAGGGATCTTGTCACATTTGTTAAGTTCTAAAAGTCGAACGGTGCGTTTTCCTACATGTGCAGACATGTGGTGTACCTACAGTAAAAATAGTTTTAGAAATTTAATTGCCATCCATCGATAAATTTGTAAAAATGTATGGCAATGTGTTTATTTTAATAATATCATCAAATCTTATCTCTACAGATCTTACTTCAATAATAAAAGTTATTGAACGAGAGGGATTGAGATTGAAACTGATTTATTATAACGTCCATATAAGATTATTATAAGGTTAAATACATAATTGAATAATAAGTAATAATAGATGATAATATGAGAGAATA